CTCCAACATATGGTAGTAGAGCAGGTGCGCGCTCGACTGTTGCCGGCTTCACTCGTTCACTGTGACGTAGGCGCGGGACCCGAAGCTTGTTGTCTTGCAATACTTGCTTGACGTGCTGAAGCTCCGCGGCCAGATGTTTTCTGTCACAGATCCCTCGTGCTCTCTGAAACAAAGATTTACCCACGGTAGCTAACTGTGAAGGATGATGGTGAGATTCACCATTTAGATATCGGTTGGTATGAGTCTTTTTCCTATACACAGTGTGACCAATAGTGTTATCAGGATTTCGGATGACTAAAACATCTGGGAAAGCTAAAGAATAATTATTTGCCTCTAACTCCATTGTGAATTGTATTTTAGAGTTTATGGAGTTAAGGTGGTCTAAAAATGCAGTTACTTTGTCAGATGGTAAAATTGTGAAAGTGTCGTCTACGTACCGCTTGTAGAACCTTGGATTTACAGGAGCAGTAAGAAGGGCTTTCTCCTCAAAGTCCTCCATGAATATGTCGGCGACTATGGGAGACACAGGTGAGCCCATCGCCACACCATCTACTTGCTTGTAGAACTCCTCCTTCCACAATAGATAGCCAGATGTAAGGCAATGTTCAAGTAGTATTGCATATTCTTGAGGCATGTTATTTTCTTCTAGCTTCCTAGTAACCCATACAACCTACCGAAGATACACAAACCAAACGCTCCACTACGTCCCATAGTGAGCCAGATCGATTCACCAACTTATAAGCTGGCACAATACTTAGCAAAAATACTATCACCACTGAGAGGACATACCAGAGCACACACGAAGGATTCATACCATTTTGTGAGTGAGATAAAAGACCTACATCTCGCTAACAATGAAACTATGGTCAGTTTTGATGTTCAGTCACTATTTACATGCCTACCTATTGTGGACTGCATCTCAATTGTAACTAGGAAGCTAGAAGAAAATAACATGCCTCAAGAATATGCAATACTACTTGAACATTGCCTCACATCTGGCTATCTATTGTGGAAGGAGGAGTTCTACAAGCAAGTAGATGGTGTGGCGATGGGCTCACCTGTGTCTCCCATAGTCGCCGACATATTCATGGAGGACTTTGAGGAGAAAGCCCTTCTTACTGCTCCTGTAAATCCAAGGTTCTACAAGCGGTACGTAGACGACACTTTCACAATTTTACCATCTGACAAAGTAACTGCATTTTTAGACCACCTTAACTCCATAAACTCTAAAATACAATTCACAATGGAGTTAGAGGCAAATAATTCTTTAGCTTTCCTAGATGTTTTAGTCATCCGAAATCCTGATAACACTATTGGTCACACTGTGTATAGGAAAAAGACCCATACCAACCGATATCTAAATGGTGAATCTCACCATCATCCTTCACACTTAGCTACCGTGGGTAAATCTTTGTTTCAGAGAGCACGAGGGATCTGTGACAGAAAACATCTGGCCGCGGAGCTTCAGCACGTCAAGCAAGTATTGCAAGACAACAAGCTTCGGGTCCCGCGCCTACGTCACAGTGAACGAGTGAAGCCGGCAACAGTCGAGCGCGCACCTGCTCTACTACCATATGTTGGAGGAGTCACGGACAAGATTGGCTACATCTTGAAGCGAGCGTCCATTAAGACATACTACAAGCCGCTGAAGAAGATTAGTCAATTTTTACCATCCATCAAATGTAATATTCCTCTACAAGATGCAGGTGTGTACAAGCTAGATTGTGAATGTGGTCTCTCTTACATAGGTCAAACAAAGAGATCTATAAAAACCCGCGTGAAGGAACATATAGCTGATGTGAAGCACCGACGCTCCGGGAAGTCTGCAGTCTGCGAACATGTTCAAGATCGTCCCCACCATTACATTAGATTTGATAAACCACAAATTCTCGCAAAAGAACACCGATTCCTACCAAGGATGATACGCGAGGCTATTGAAATTAAAAAACATCCAAATTTCAATAGAGAAGATGGTTGGGTGCTACCATCTGCTTGGGATCCTATAATCAACAAAATTAAACCCAAACCCAAGCATACCACTGCAAGACTTCATGATACTATAAGCTCGTTTTGCGTAAATCGGACCAAAAATTAATATTAAAAAACTGAAGGTAGCCGGACTAACTATGACATTGGGACGTCAAACATCTCAGTCCCCCCCCGTGACCATGGGCGCTGTAAAGCACCCGAAACGTCGGGATAATAATAAAAATAAATTAAAGTAATTAAACGCGATAAAATCCGTAAATAATAGTTTTATTCAATGTGTAGTGTTCGCGTAAATTTAAGAAATCATTATAAAAAATAACAATTGAATAACAAAATTAAATTAAATTAGATAGTCACAGGCCGAAGTTGTCCACATAAATTAAATAATATTTGTATCAAAATATTCATTTAAATTATAGAAACATTTTTCAATTAAATATAACTTTAATTTCGATAAAAATAGTGTAGTATTCGTTAAATTTTTAATGTCATTGGGAAGGTTACTAAAAATTTTTACTGTCAGACAGTAGTGACTAGAGCTATGCAAATCAATAGTAGATTTCGGCAATAGTAGCCTATTCTTATTGGTCTAATTGAGTATTTGTAATTTATTTCACTTAATTTGGTAAATAGTTCTGGGTGGCTTTTTACAAATTTGCATGTTTCCCAAATATAAATAGACGTCAAAGTCAAAATTTTAAACTTTTTGAAGTGGGGCTTACAACTTTCTGGAATTTTTATGTTTGCCAAGATTCTTATAATTTTTTTTCGATAAATCGATAAATACATAATTCGCTTACCCCCTGTGCACGTCATAATCCTTCTCAAACATACAGGTTTCCTCTCGAACTGTTTTTCATCAACGCCGATCACGTGACGAAGCTTATATTTCAAGGTAAAACTTATAGTCCACGAATACCCATTGAGGCTGCGTGGCGAATACCTCCTTGCACTAATGAGAGTAGGTCTCTGCCCAGCAGTTGGACATATATAGGCTGTAACTTTTTTTTAAATTTTGAAGTATCATCCCTGCGCTCTCGAATACTGAAAACCTGTCATCCTCCTGATTTAAATGTTCTTTACGAACGTATCACTTGCGTCTAACTAACGTTTTGTCTTTTATTTTTTAAGGCAGATGATAATAGCGTATCCATCTCTCTCTAAATATAAAATAATGTGATTTTTTATTTAAATTATTAATATTCTGTTTTAACTAAGGTAGTGGATTTTATCAAAAGTCATCCAGTTCCAGAAAATAATAAAGTGAACTAAACTGAACTCCTATTTTAATGATACTTTTGTATGACGTAATATGCATAAATTAATTATATACTAAATATATTTATTTGTGTTACTTTGCAAACGTACCTTAATTACAGATTTTTTTTAATATGTTGTACATACTTACTAAATTGATGTAGTAATAAAATGATCCGTCCTCGCTTCGCCTGGATATGATCTATTAATTAGGCGTAGTTTAGAATTAAGACAATTAAAGAACATTTATTGTATAAATTTTTAGTTTTGTTTTTCAAAAATGATATTGCTTTCTATCTGTTCCTAAAGTTTCGTAAATTTCATCGGACAGGTAGACAGACAAAACATTTAAAAATAATTATTTGTGTATTAATAGCATTAATATACGATAGTTATTTCGATGTTAAGGACAGAAACTTCAATTTTATTTACAGCTGTCATTGTTATATACTAAATAAAACCTTAAAAGTAGACAAAAGCTACATTTTTTAACACCTTCTTAGAAATGTCGCCTATGAAGTTTCATTTATATAGGGAGACTCAAGTGTCGATAATTGTGTATTCATCACTATATTAAATTTAGTAATCCGTAGATTTAGTTAATTATATTAATATTTTTCTAACATTTACCGAGAGGTATCATTGTTCACTTTTAAAAAATATCCTTTAAATCTTTACAGTGTTACTCGGCTCAAAAAGTTTTTTCTTAAAATAACGTTGTCAATACAGATATTCTAACAAAATCGCTTAGAACGAAAACCCACAACATTGCAATTAAAAATGTCAAAAGAGTGGTCTATTTTTCTTTTTCCTCACAATCTGCTCGTAAAATCTGCAAGACATGGACCTGACCTATTGTAGGGGCGATTTGTCATAATTGTAACGTTTGGCAGACGGAAAGAGGATCGCAATACATGACTTGCACCTTCAACGTTGCTACCAGAAGCTTAGTATTTTATGACATAACCGACATTTTTATACAGAGAGTTTCGTAGCTCTTCTACATATAGCACCGTAACTTTGGTACTTTGATAGCGTGATTTAGGCTCGGTGTGTTTCAGAACACGACAGCGCCGCCACGGACACGGTGGTATGTTTGACTGCAGTGTCAATAATTTCAAAAATGGTGATCAAATTTTCATTACGTTTTTTCATACATTGTTAATTTATACATTATAAATAAGTGACTGCTGTTCCTTATTTTCAATTGTTGATTTCAAGAGGTCAATTCTTACTTCATTTTCATGTTCACAGCGCAAGTTGGTCTTAGATTCTAAATCTGATATAAGAGTTTCTAAGGCCACAGATGTCTTATTTACTACTTATCAATTCAATAGAATCTTATATCTCACTCAGCTGTTTAATATAAACTGACTTTTTTTTCATCTTGTCTGGAAAACCAGATATATTATGCTTAGAATTTTATCTTGGCTGTTGAGAAAATCTGCTGTGTTAATTGGCTGGAGTTACAGGTCAAGCGCTTACGAAATGTAACGTATTCAGGAGGTAACTGATAAGAAAGAAGGGACCTTTACCTTCCAATCTTTCGACCATCTGGTTAAAAGTACTTTTCATAATTAAAGATGTATAATATACAATCTCTGTAATGTATGCAAATTAGCCTGTGTGCAATATTATGCAGTTCCGAGCTGTATGAGTTAGAGCGGTACGGTATGATAATATGAAACATGTGAAGATATAGATTATTTTTCATAAATTATTTATAAGATTTTTTAGTAAATTGTTTGTTTCAGCCAGAGAATATTTAGAGAGAAGAATAATTTTCAGCAAGGGTTCAGTGGAGCGTGCAAAGTCAAAATTAGACAGATATTGCACTCTTAGGACGTTGATGCCGCAGTTCTATAAATGTATAGATTTTAAGGCTGAATACAAGTATTCAGATATTATGTAAGTACTAACTATTCCCTGCGACTTCGTCCGCGTGGAATTTTTTTTCGTGGAACCAAAAATAAAAGATGCCTCCTTACTCCTTATAACATCAGCTGTGATTAAAAGTTCCATTCAAATCGGTTCACAGGATTTTGCGTAAGACAGACATCGTGTTAGAGTTTAATTTTTAGTGTTAGATTATTATTCATCACCCTACCGTACAGGACGCTTTCCTAATACTTAACCGTCTTATTTTTGACCTATTTTTCTGAAGTGTTCGTCGATGGATGGAAGGACATTCCATCACTCAGTTTTTTTATAGCAGAAGGGGCAAGATGGTATGAGGCTCACCTGATGATTATTATCAACTCATCTATTATCAACTGTCGCTATGAACAACGGTAAAACCAGGGGAATCGCAGGTGCGTTGCCAGCCCTTATAAGAGTAGTCCCAATAATTGGGCGTCGAGATATTACATTACAAGGAAATATTACGGTTATTTTACACAACATGGTTATATCACAGTATAAGTTATATTATGAACATCTCGCATATAACAGAGAAAATTGATGCGTCGAGTATTGCATAGCAAATCAATTCTCTTGCTAATAATGGCGGAAGGTTTAATCTCCAATCAAAAATAGAGATGAAAGGGATATCCGGTAACTATCCGGTATTCGACTTATCCGGCCTAAAATTACTATCCGGCCGGAAACCGTATAACAAAATACTGTCCGGCCGAATACCGGATTAAAAAAACACATAATATCAAATTTAGTTAAGTACTTCATTTATGTCACTTAACAGATATAATCAGTTATCACAAAATTTTGAATTTAAAACTTACAAAATTAGTTTTCGTACTGCACAATAAATAATAACACGTAAGGCACAATTGATAATAGTACTACGTAGCTGAGGCCAAATTATGTTGAATAAATACTAATTTCTCTGCATTGAAAGTTAAAAACGGTTTCGTCTGTCTTCATAAACAAGGCCTCCTTCATAAAAAAGTGTTTCACTGTACACATTACTGCAGGTTACTGAAAAATAGATTTTGGCAAACTTTGATAATCTTGGGTATTGTGTAGTAATACCTGTCCACCAAATATAAGGGTCACGATCGCGAACAGTTTGCACTAACTTTACTTTTCGCTTCTTGCGATGCAGTAGGGAAGGTAAGTATTTACGCGACCAGGTTTTTATACCAGGTATTTACTTGCAAATACGCCGACCATGTGCCGACCCAAAATACTCGCAAGACTTTAAAGTATTTGAATATTCTCGCTCTGTCGACACTCGACGTGATTCTGCTCCTTATTTATATTTTGTTACGGATCAATGTTCTATCAAAGTATATTTACTTTAAATGTTTGGAAGTTTTTCTTTGTAAACGCGTTTCTGCTTTTTATTTATATTAACTTACGGATCAATGCTCTATGCAAGTATTTTTTCTTCCAACAGGGCTTGAAAGTTTACTATTTTAGGATATGCGGTGCATTCCTTATTAATATGACCTTACGGATCAATTTTCAATACAGAATTAAAATACTCCAAAGTATCTGGAGCCCTTATTTTTGGCGCTTATACTTATATACATGTGTCTAGGGCTCCCAAGTACGTCCACATTCAGATGAAGGTGCACGTACTTTGAAGCCCTGGTACTCAATCTTGCAAGTACGACGCATGTCTACGACGCACCAAACGGCAATGTTCGGCAGAATATCCGGCGGCCGGATATCCGGCTGTCCGGCGATAAGCCTGGCCAAATATTCGGTATCCGGTATCCAGCCAAACAGCTATCCGTTTCATCTCTAATCAAAATCATGATATTTTCGGTGAACTTTGTATGGGTCGATATTGACAAGGAAGAAGCGTGACTGCAATTGCGAAAGGGTTTAATATAACTAAATTGCATTTTCAGATGGGATGGTTTATCACCTAAAATGACTGATGACTATTACAGAATTTACATGGTAAAGTGTGTCGGAAAACGTTTTGATTACGAAATAATGAGTTACTTGCGATGGACAATTGCAGTAAGAATTTTTGTCTCTTCATTTCAAACCTTAATATTTTTATTTTTTATGAATTTTATAGAATTTATTATAATTAACTTGTTTTTACTGTTGTTCACATACTATAGTCACGATGGAACTTAATTATTTGACATTCGCGTGCCAGAGACGCAGAATAAGCTCACTATTGCGCAAGAATATATCAATTTATATACAAGACTAATTCGATATTTTTAAATACTTTGTAAATATCGTTTACGAGTGGTAACTGAAGTGTATGTTGGCCATCGAGCCAATGCAAAGATGCAGGTGGTTCAAGAGCGTGCCTTGTGGCATTACATGTGGGAGTCCTATGAGTCATGATGGGCTTCAATGACCTTGAAGAAATAATAAAAATTATTTATGGTTTAAGAGTTTGGTCAAGAGCGGTATTGACTGAAAGAAGCTGGTTGACCAAAACTGGTAGTTTAAATTATATTATTAATTTATTGGTAGTAAAATCACCCTTAGTCTTGAGTATTAAGTGTTTAATATTATATAAAACGATTACTGCCAACTCTTTGACTTTACTAGGTTTTTCTAAGCAAAACTACTTTTTTCTAAGCCGGATTAACTAGATGTCAGCGGCTTTGCCACAGCCACACCTCAGTTTATAGTCACTGGTATTTGAAAAAATATCAGTCATCCTAAAATCAATCATGGCTTCGTACAAAACTAGTTTGACTGGAATTAACGTCTTAACTACTTTTGACAAAAGCAGTTTTGACTGCCTTTGTTTGAAATTGCTCTGTAATATACTTGGTTACGTCATAAGTTCTGTCAAAAACTTTTTATAAAATTATTGATAATTCTATAGAAATTATATTTGAAACGAAAGGCAATAGAAAATAAAGTAAATACAATTGTATTTACATTATTCAAAATGCTCTCCCCTATTTTCAATGCATGCCATAAATCGATGCAATCATCAATCATAGCACGCACCACACTCATATATATTTCTGCCGCTGCTTTAGCCAAAGATGTTCGGAGGGATTCCAAACTCTGATGAGGCCTCTCTTGTCCTGAAAAACATTTGAACATTAATAACTATAGTGCAGGCCCTCTTGTCCTGAGCACCATCTGAACATTTATAGCTTTATTGCAGGCCCTTCTTGTTCTGAAAACATATCTAAACACATTGATGGAGACAATACATATATATATATATATATATATATATATATATATATATATATATATATATATGTATATATAATACAACTTGATAGAACAATTTCAGATTCAGGTTCAGTGCAGACTCAAACCTCCAAATATTGCCATATCTTATAATACAGTGGGATTAAATCCGGACTAGAAGAGGGCCAATCTTTATGTCCGATAAAGTCAATTCCATGGGCGATCAACCAGTTTTGCGTGCTAAATGCCCTATGAGCTGATGCAGTGCCTGTTGGAATATCCAATGTCCGTTTCTGGACATTGTTTGAGAACGAGGTTCCACTATGTTTGTTAGCACGGCATTTTGATACATCTCGGCACTGGTTTTTACACCAATTTCACAGAAAAACACCTCGGTTAAGCCTGAATATGAGACTCCAAGCCAAACCATGGGTGACGAAGGATAATGCGCTTCTTGAACCCTCACAATACGCGTGCTGGCTTCTTCACTGCTGTGGGCATACACTTTATAATTTTATTATTATAATTTTCTTCGATGTTAAAAATTTCTTCATCTGAAAATAAAATCTCGCGGTATTTTTTTCCTGCGTACCGCCGTAAGAAAGCGCGGAATTCATCCAGCCCAATTTTTTTCAAACGGTCGTTCATAAATTGAATTGAAAATCTCTTTTGGCGCGTAACCACAGCGGTGCAACGCAATAACCGCTACTCTATCTTCTTTCTTCGACCACTCCGTACTTGAAAATAAATGAAAATTAATGTCTTATTTTATTTTCGGCAAGCGCATACGCTACATTTTTAAAATTGGTGAATTTCATCTAGCTAGCTTAGTTGGGTCATAAGTTCTTGTTTTGCCAGAACTTATGACCCAACTAAGTATACGTGAATATTTCGCTTACAGTCCAGGATATAATAGTTATAATTTGTTTACCACTTTATTAAAATTTATTAGATGACTGATATTTTCGAAAGTGTGTGTGTGTGTGGGGGGGGGGGGGGTATATTGCCATAGTTGCCACGCTTGACGAGCGGGTTGGCAATCGCGGTTTTGGCAAACAACGTTTTAAAGATAGGGAGTGTATCGACGAGGGTTGCGTACCTTACACTCAGAATCACAAAACGGTATTCGCTGAAGGTCATACAGGTTTACGCGCCAACGTTGGAAAATCGCAATGAGGAGGTGGAGGAAATGTATGACGATATTTCTAGATCCATGCATTCCTCCAAAACTCAATATACGGTGTTAATGGGAGACTTCAACGCAAAACTGGACACAAGAAACAACGGTGAGCTGAAGATAGGGAAATTTGGGATAGGGCAACGGAACCCAAGGGGCCAGCAGCTGGCCGACTTCATGGAGAAAGAGGGACTTTTAATGATGAACTCTTTCTTCCAGAAGCGGCCCCATAGAAAGTGGACCTGGTCGAGCCCCGACGGTTCGACAAAAAATGAGATTGACCTCATTATGAAGACCAGACGCCAACTGTTCAGTGATGTCTCAGTGATCGCAAGGGTGAAAACTGGCAGCGATCACCGTATGGTTAGAGGCACACTGAACCTAAACTTTAAGTTGGAGAGATCTCGTCTAATGAAGTCAACGATCCTTCCCCCTCATGTTCTAATCCAGAATCCTGAAACCTTTCGGCTCAAGTAACGTAACCGCTTTCAGTGTCTAGAAGATTGCAATGCAGTGGACGATATGAATGACAAGCTCGTGGAAACTCTCCATACGGTCCGAGCTAAGTTCTGCAAGACTCGCCGCAGAAGAACACAAAAACTCTCCGATCACACTCTTAATCTCATGGCTATTAGACGGGAGATGAGGCTGCAATCGTCAACAGATTTGACAGCATACAGGCAATTGAACAGACAGATCTCTAAATGCATGACTTTATATCGCTCGTATTAAAGAAGCGATCGAGCGGAACTATGGCTCCAAAATCTTTGACAGAGATTTGTCTGTCAGAAAGAGCCAACTGTCAAAGCTGATGACTGAGTACGTCAGTATCGTTTCCGGGACAACTGAGATTTTGAGTGAGATTGAGAGGTACTAAGAGCAGCTGTTCACATCATCGTTGGAGCCACATGCAAGTGTGAGTAACAATCCAAGAGCAAATCCTATCCGACGTCAGTCTGAGCGAGATTAGAATAGCTCTCCAGCACCTTAATAGCTTCTGAAAGCGGGTGGAATACCGGTCTTTAAAGTCCTTCAGAAGCTTTTTAATTCCGTCCTCCATGGTGGCACTACTCCGGAGGCGTGAAGCAGAAGTGCGGTGGTCTTGTTCTTTAAGAAAGGCGACAACGCTCTCTTGAAGAAATATAGACCGATTTCCCTTCTAAGCCGCGTCTACATGCTGTTTTCGAGAGTCATTACGAATCGTCTTGCACGCAGACTCGATGACTTCCAACCTCCCGAACAAGCCAACTTCCGAAAAGGCTTCAGTACCATAGACCACATACATACCCTGCGGCAGATTGTACAGAAGACCGAAGAGTACAATCTGCCACTTTTCCTGGTGTATATGGACTATGAGAAAGCCTTTGATTCCGTCGAAATTCGGGCGGTGATACAGTCCCTTCAGCGGTGCCAATTTGATTGTAGGTATATCGAAGTGCTGAAGTGTTTGTACATTATGGCTACGATGGCTATCCGAGTACAGAACCAGAGTTCGAAACCTATCCAACTGCAGAAGGGTGTAAGACAGGGTGACGATATATCCCCTAAACTCTTCACCGCTGCATTGGAAGACGTTTTCAAGCCACTGGACTAGAAAGGATACGGTATTACTCGTAACATCAATGGCGAGTATATCACTCACCTTCGATTTGCCGATGATATAGTCCTTATGGCAGAATCGCTAGACGAGCTAAGCACTATGCTCAATGACCTCAATGGTGTCTCCCAGCGGATAGGTCTTAAAATGAACAGGGACAAAACAAAGATCATGTTTAAAGTCCATGTCACACTTATGCCGGTAGTTGTTGGGAGCACTATGCTCGAAGTTGTTGACGAGTACGTTTACCTGGGATAAATAGTCCAACTAGGTAAGTCCAACTTCGACCGAGAGGTCAATCGACGGGTTCAACTCGGCTGGGCAGCGTTCGGGAAATTACGACACATCTTCTCATCAGGTATACCTTAAACTCTGAAAACTAGACTGTACAACCAGTGCGTGTTTGCCAGTGATAAATTACGGATCTGAGACGTGGTCCTTCACTGCTGGCCCTATGATGACGCTCAAGGTTGCCCAGCGAGCTATGGAGAGGGCTATGCTCGGAGTTTCTCTGCGTGATAGACTCAGAAATGAGCATATCCGCAGTGAAACTAGAGTGACCGACATAGCCCAACGGATTAGTAAGCTGAAGTGGCAATGGGTCGGCCATATAGCTCGAAGAACCGATACTCGATGGGAAGGAGAGGTTCTCAAATGGCAGCCTCGTACTGGCAGGCGTAGTGTAGGGCGTCCCCCTACTAGATGGAGTGACGACCTGGTAAGACATGCAGGAATTCGATGGATGCAGGTTGCTCAGGACCGTGCTGTGTGTCATTACTTGGTGGAGGCACTATGTTCAGCAATGGACTTGTGAAGGGCTGTAATAATGATGATGATGGATGTGTGTGTGTGTGTGTGTGTGTGTGTGTGTGTGTGTGTGTGTGTGTGTGTGTGCTTGTGCGTATGAATGTGCATGTGCGTGTACGTATGCTTGTGCGTGTGCGTGTGAGTGTGTGTGTGAGTGTGCGTGTGCGAATGCGTGTACGGGTGCATGTGCGTGTGCTTGTGCGTGTGCGTGTGCGTGTGTACATGTATGTAACGTGTAAAAACTCCTTATAATTTTTGCCGCGTTTCTCACGATCAAGCCGTTCGCTTGATCGTTAGAAACGCGGTTCACGACATTCAAAAATACTGCCCTTAGATATCATGTGAATTTTAATCATTTCGGTTCATAAATTTTGAGAAATCTCAAAAATTAAATAAATAAAATGTTAATTACAGATAACTTTTGAAATGAAGTATCGATCGATTCCAATTAGCTCTTCATCAAAAAAACAACATCAATTGCCGCAAACTGCATCAAAAACGGTTCACTCGATTCGATTTTGATAACGGTTTCTCTTAAATTTCTCTTGAAAATTTTATATGACGTTTTCAAAACCGTCATAATAGGTGTACTTTAAAGCGCTTTGCATTTTAAATAAGCGGGAAGTTGCAGGAATAACTTGTAGGGTTAACCGTATTTTCTTTTTTTGCAGATGGCGGAATACATGATTTCGTATGATTATAGCAGAGGTGTAATAGTTATTCTAGACTTTATAGAGACCAATCTGGTAAAACTATTAAAGATGATACACTTCGCTGAATTGCGCCAAGTTTTTACATTATTAATTGTAAGCATATTATGGTGCAATAATTTCTTTTACGTTTTTTTAAATTTTACTGTGGACATTAGTCTCTATGCGATTAATATTTTTATTAATTGCACCTTGTACGCTGCTGCTCCTCGCTAGTCTGAATTTTTATGTCCGGCGTAAATGAGGTTGTATTACGTCATACTTTTGGGATTCTTAAGACTTTTGTGGTGCATTTCTTATTCTAAATCAGCCAAGATTTTCAAGGTATTCTATTAAATAGATTCTTAAACCTAAATTAAGCCATAAATTTTCTAATGCAAAGTATTGTGCTATTTCATGTTTAATCTTTTTGCAGAGTTTTGGGATATTAAATTAAATCTATACATATAATTAAAATGTAAATTGTTGGTGCCTGTACATTAATATTGTTATATGTCCTACTGCTGAGTTACAGGCACCTTATTTTCGAGTGAGTTTCTTTTTTGGAACGGGAAAAAATTCACTACGCTATCCAAACCATAATTAAATAGTTAACATTACCAGTGCAATATTCAATTAAGTTAACAGCGTCGCACTGGTAACGTGCTGAGAGGAACATACTTGTTGATGTTTGTGTTGATGTTTGTTGTTGGTGTTGATGACTTGATGAATACTATTATCGTATTAATTTAACGACGCAAAAATGTTTGAAGAATTGTCTATTCTTCTTCTCCTTCATCATCAGCTCGCAAAAGTCTACTGTTATACATGGAGCTCTCCCACTGCAGGAGTAATTTGCTATATTTTTCGTGGTTAGCACCGTGGTTACAACCGCAATAGAAGACGTCTCGAACCTTTACGTAGCTGTTCGTAGAAATTCTGGGTATTTTACGTCTAGCTCTAACGAAATCCATTTTATTATAGTACCTTATATTGAAAATCCATTAGGTTTCTCTAATAGTAGCACATCCCATTGACTCGGCTACCGATCTAATCAGATCGTACAATACCTACCTTACGTCGGCTCTGGTACGGGTCGAATTAGATCAGGTCGGATCAGAAGTACTGCCTTATGAAAAAACTATTTTTTCCTTTAAAACAAAACCAAAGACAATATGCAATAGATAATAGTATCAAAGAGAAAGATATGCTCTTTTATCTTAAACTATAACCTGGCAATGTTTCTTAGAAAAAAAAAAAAGAAATCACTCTGAACTTTCGGCGTTCCACGTGTCGTTTTGATGAAGGTGCTCCGTCTTTTTTATAGAATTTTATATTTGTGTCTGATCTAAAAACGAAAGTATTATACTTTTTTATATTCCTTGTAATATAGTGAACACGTAGATATATAATTTGTGGTATAAAAAGTGAAAAGTAAATTGCCAAAAGTACTTCAAAATCTGGAAGACCCATTTTGGCGGTTGGGTCATAAATGTGTTATTTTTCAAATTCATTATATTCATAAAATGTAAGTAAAAATAGTTTTCTTACATATTTCAAATAACTTGACGTTGTATTTATTTCAAATTCACACATAATTATTTTTGAAATATTGTTCTAAATGTCACACAGATAAAATATTATTATTGTTTTTTTTTAATTTTTTAATATTTTAATATTTTGGTATGAGTAACGAATGGAAACATATAAAACATAAAAATATACATATTTCCAAACATTTTCATATAAATTTCTCCAAAAACAAAAGTGTAGAATTCAAATTAGTAGTAATTTTGTCACTAAAATTGAAGTATATGCTACTACTATGCTATACAGCGTAATTTATGTATTTTATTACAATTTCTAGCAACCAAAAATAATTTTATTCGATATTTTATACATTCAACAAGAAATCCTGTAAGTTTTATCCATAAATATTGTCTCAAAGTGAAAATATAGCAAAATTTGCAATATAGAAAAAAAATTTCTAACTTACAAATTTTCCCGCCATTAAGGTCCCGAGCGAACGGGAGTATAACATGTCGCGCGCTGTCAGAGCCTTGGGGATATTTCTATACCCCTGAACAAAGAGTAGTGATGGATTCATTTATGCCGCTACTACACTGCGAACGAAAATGTATTGTTTTATAAATTAGAGTAATTAATTGTAAAATTTTTCTTTGGGTTTTCTTTATATTATAAATAAATAAATAAATAAATTATTTTAGTATATATCTACGTTGCTAAATTTTATTTAAATATAAATATTTAACGGATATTCATTCCGTTTTGGGATTCCGAAATGGAATTCCGTTTCTTTGTCACGAAAGACATCTCGCGTTCACGGCGCTACAGGCGCCTATATTGTAGTTCCCATATTTTTTTAAAGGAACTTCTTTATTGAAACATATTCTAGTTTATGCTTGAGACTAGTATGTTAAAATAACTTTTAGATGCCTTAAATTTATAAGGAACCTCTATACAATTTTTTTAATTCCTTTATCCAGCTATTTGCATTTAGACATAATTATCTGTCAGTCGTCATTTCTTTATTTTCCCTGTGTGCGCCTTACTATGCTTCTGTGAGGTATTGTGAGCATACGTAAATATTTTTTACAAAAAAGAGGCATAGCAACATCTGCTGGGCACAGCTAGTACAGTTTTGATTTTATTGTTTGGGTGTCATCTCTATTTTTTATTTGTTATTTGACTGCCTCGTTGATCTAGTGATCGTAGGCGAGACTGCTGATCATGTGACTCCGAGAAAGGCTAAATCAGTTATTGGGTTTTCCTGTCAAGAAATTTTCAGTAGCGTCTCAGAGTGAGGAATTTAAAGATGATTTACCCCTGTGTCGCTAAAGGAACATAATGTCGTTGGTCTTGCTCCTGATCTCCCTCCGTTCCATATGCCAACCCATGGGACTATGAGAGTGAGAAAACCGAGAAGGAACCTGTATTAGCGCACAAGTTCGTGTGATTTAACCCTGTCTTGCGTAGACCACTAGTTTCTGCATTGTTTACATACTAAAATAAAAGTCACGGTAAACACACAGGTGTTTAGTTTAGCAACGTCTATAGATTATTTTTATATATTTACACAAAAATATTCATTTTTGATCCATCTATTAAGAAAAGCTCGTTGTTTAGATTGAAAATAAATTACATTATGAAATAACTACATGAATCTACTAAATCGAAATATTAAGCAAAAGTTTAAAGCTAGTAAATCTACAGCTTCTTGTTGTGCTATTCACCATGGTGTTGGTACAGTAACGCATACTAGAAAATTGATCACAACGCTTGAATAACTTTAAATAGAATTGACAAGGCTGCACTGATGTGGTGAACAAACTTATAATTAGAACATGCTTATTTCAGGATGGCTACGGAATCATAGTAAAAGCTATACATATAATTACTCCCTCAAAAACCGTGGAAACCTTAGTTGCAATTTTCAAACAAATTCTCAGTGCAAAATTAGGTCAACGCATTCAAATACACAAGGATTTGGAATCACTGCACAAGTTTGTGCAGCGAGATGTGTTACCAGAAGAGCTAGGTGGAAATGACAGATCTATTTTAAATTTACACAGTAAGCTTAACCTTTTTTTACCCTAATTTTTAATTATGGCATTTTACTTATGGCGCTTACCTAAACAGCTATAAAAATGTCGCATATGATCTAACCATAAAAAATATTCATTAATGAAGTCACTTAAACACAATTTTATTAATCAAATAATGATGACAATAATAAAGTTCCGTTATATACGTTAGATGGTTTAATTTTACACGTAATGACTTTTAAGGTGTCCCCAAATATTCAGGTTTTTTGGAATTTATATTAAAAATAATAACAGTAATATTCGAAAAGAAAATGTGCAATTCAATGCTGCAATGTCAGCTCAATGCTGCTCTCTTTCGAATATTGAGTGTAGAGAACCGGAGACTTGTTTTATTGGAAACAAGGCATTACATCTTAGTCCCCAGGGGTGGTAACGTATTTGAATTTTGACTCTTAATAGAGGATTGGTGTAGATGTCAATGGGTTACAGTATTATTACTAACCATCAGGCGGATTGTGTGTTCGTTTGTCACACTTATTCTATACAAAATCGATCATACGTTTTCGTCGACTGCAAATGTAACGCTACAAGTATTAGAGTAAATGCTCAGGCATTACAGTTGTAGTCGACGGCGTATTAAGAATTCCAAATTATAATGTTGTTTTTTCACAAAACTGCTCACTATGTACCTTATGCTTCTGTACACGCCGTCCGTGATAATATGTTTCTAGATCACGTTGTTTTAAGCGCTGAAACAAACTTGTATTTCTAGGCTATTTGTTAAAGTTATTTGATAAACGATGTCTCGGCTAAGGGTTAACTATTCTAAAACAACACAGGTATGCACGTTTACTGCTCAAAGCAAACCCTTTGTATAAACCGACAATTCCTCCTCCAATTTTTGCCCCAGACAGCGTCAGAATACTCGGCATTATCACATAAAGAATATAAGTCAATTTAGATTCAAACAGAACACGGCTTTAGGCAGAAAAGGTCTTTACGTTTTAATTCCGGCGTAAACTTTTGCCCAGCTTCTTTCGAAACGCTATATATAATCAGGAAAACTTTTCCTTTATATTGGTAAAATAAGGTAAGTCTGTCTGGGATACAAAGGCAAAGGGGGATTGGCAGATGGATAATATTATCCTGATATTTCATGTCCAACATTGATGATTAGATGTTATTCTTTTAATTTACTGGCTACTATAACTTATACAAATAACTTGATGTGCTCTTATAGAACAGTATTTACCAAATAAATTTTATTTCAAGGATATCTCATTAACGTTTAAAGTAGTTTAAAGCTTTTTGCTTGACCTATCAGAGTTCAATATCAGATCTGTTAATGCAATTATTCATTACAGACTACTAACGTTATATGCAAAATTAGTCAGAGTATTGTTACGAGCTTGAGGTTCGTGACAATAAAAATTGCCGATAAAATTACCTAAACTAACACTTTAATTTTCTTTACACAAATTAAAACTAAAAACACTAATAATTAATCACACTAATTCACTTTATTTCGCTTCGAAGCTTCGCTTGTCTCGCCGAATTCAATACTTCCCCGATCGCATCTTGCAGCGCCTATTTATATAAATGAGCACGGAAATATCCAGAATATTCAAGTAAACACGCGCAGGGTACCGAGAGTTCGATGGCGCTAGTGCCGACGACTAAGGCGCGTAACACTGCCCCCTCCTATGACATGCTCGTCCCGAGCATTATCGGCCCCATAATAACGCGCCAGGCGATCCACATGGACGATCTTAGGAGTCCCTCTTGCGCCTTTCTGTATCCGGTAGGTTACATCGTTGATCCTGGTCACAATCCGGTACAGGCCATCCCATTTAGCTTGAAGCTTAGGAGATTTCCCTTTGCTGCGGACGGGATTATGCAACCACACTAGTGAACCTTCGTCGAACCCTTTGTGTTTCATTTTGCGGTCGTACCGGGTTTTCATCTTTTCAGACATTTGCTGGCCCGATTGTCTGACGTGCTCATAAATGTCATTTATTTTGTTCCGCAAGTCATTTGCATAATCGGTTATACTACGTGGAGCATCAGGTGGTATCCCGGTGATCAGGTCCGCAGGCAGCCGTAATTCTCTTCCAAAGTTTGCGAAAGCTGGTGTCACTGCTCTACTTTCGTGAACAGCGCTTCGATGTGACAAAAAAAACGGTTGTATGTGCTTGTCCCAATCTCGTTGGCGATTGTCTACAACTTTTGCTAGGTACCTCTCCAATGTCGAAGATGGCCCTTTTCCTCACAGCCATAGCACCTAGGGCTGTATCCTTTGTTGCGGTCGCGTACTGTAGCTGCAGCAACCTCCTTGATGCGATGGGAACGATGATCCTGCCGCACGGCTTCTACCTCCAGTGCATGGGCCAAGGCGTCCTTAAGCGTGTCGTGGTGCCCGAGTCTCACAGCAGCTCTGACTTCAAGGTCGCGGATGCCGTCAATGAATGTCTGAACCAGGTTCCCTTCAAAGAGCGCAGGTACAGACTGGTATGCTTTTCGAACCATCTTCTCCACCTCAAGGGCCCACTGCTGCAGGTTTTCGTTGCTGCGCTGCACGCGATCTTTAAGCTGCGCGTGAAAGACGTGATCCAGGTAAGCGGCGCCATATCTCGCCTCCAAGGCCTCAAGAAGCTGCTCGTAGGTCAATTTCTTACCGAGAGCTTCCAACACAGTTAAGGCTTGGTCGCGCAGGCCTAGGGTGAGTGCAGTTATGGCTTGGCTTTTATTCCAGCCGTTCGCCTCCATGACGGCCTCGAACTGGATTTTGTAGGCCAACCAGGAAGAGGTCCCGTCGAACGGTGGCACTTTGAATTCACGCAGCGAATGTGTTGTAGCTACTACGGGAGCTGTTGTTCCATCCCCAAGTTTGAGGTCGTCCAGCGTTTTCTTCACGTCAGCCATTACGTTGTCAACCCGATTGTTTACTTGGTCGATTCGGATTTCAGCTTCCGACAGGCGGTTGTCATGTTGAGCAACCTTATCCTTCACCTCCCGTATCTCTTTTCCGAAGATAGCGTGAAGGTTCTTCATGAGGAGCATCTGCTCTTCCTTATCGCGTTGGAGTTGCTCTTATAAACGACGGGCCTGTTCCTCCTGCCGACGGGCCTGTTCCTCCTGCCAACGGGCCTGTTCCTCCTGCCGACGGGCCTGTTCCCCCTGTCCGCCCCGCAGCTGCTCTTCCAATCGGCGGGCCTGTTCCTCCTGTCCGCCCCGCAACTGCTCTTCCAAACGACGGACCTGTTCCTCCTGTCGGCGGGCCTGTTCCTCCTGTCGGAGAGCCTGCTCCTGAAGCATCACCATCAGAGCACCTAAGTCAGGTGCTGCAGATGTAGGAGCTACTGACAGGCCTGCAGCCGGCGGCTGGCCCTCGGACGTCTACGGCGTTGCACCACCAAATCTTCTTTGGTCCGACTCCTGCTGGCGTTGACTTCGGGTAGGGACACCCTCCGTTTCCTCCTTAGGTAAAATCGGCATGATTTTATCCCACTTCTGACACCAATTGTTACGAGCTTGAGGTTCGTGACAATAAAAATTGCCGATAAAATTACCTAAATTAACACTTTAATTTTCTTTACACAAATTAAAACTTAAAACACTAATAACTAATCACACTAATTCACTTTATTTCGCTCCGAAGCTTCGCTTGTCTCGCCGAATTCAATACTTCCCCGATCGCATTTTGCAGCGCCTATTTATATAAATTAGCACGGAAATATCCAGAATATTCAAGTAAACACGCGCAAGGTACCGAGAGTTCGAGTTTCAACTTCAAAAAGTTTAGTTCTTCGGTTCGAGACTAGATGGCGCTAGTGCCGTCGACTAAGGCGCGTAACAGTATGTTGTGTTTAATGTTCAGTTTAATGGAATATCACTTTTTAATGATGGTTTTAAAACTTAAAGTCCGTTTCTGCAACAGAGTGAGACTCGTATGATGACTGATTAAGTTAGTAATCTGCACCGTACTTTTGAACGAGTAGGGTTTAAGAGTTCTAATCTCAATTCTTCAGAGTCTGTTAATTTTTTCCGCTTTGGTTTTTAACAGCATAAAAAGAGAATTATGCTGTAAAAATTTATTATTTACGTTTTATTTGTGCATTAATAAACTTATTCTTACAGAAGAATATGTTGATGTGTTTGCTTCAAGAGAGTTTCAAGAATATTTAATCAAAATGAAAGCTGCTACCACAAATGAAAAGTACAGACAGACTAATAAATTTAATGAAGAGTATATGGGAATTGCAGGCACATTTAAAACATTAAATGTAGATTAGTGATTCTGAAACAATTTTAGTTTAAAAACACATTATTTGTATTAAATATGTAAATTGGTGTTGATAGTTCAAGTGTACCAGTTATGTGTTATATATACGTAAATAAAATTTATTAACTAACAATGATATTTTATTTCGAGACAATTTTTTATTAAGTAAAGTCTATCTGTGAGCTATTTTCTAAAGAAAATTCTTATGTTAGCAATAAAAAAATTGTAAAGGATCTTCTAGGATTCAGTGTTAGAGACACAAAAACAGCACATAAAGCACAAAACTCTGGAAGGTTTTACTTACATTTCTGATGCCCAATTCAAGAAAAAGATATTTTAACAATCTGAATGAAGTTTTGTGAATGTCGTTCTCAAACACCGGTTTCTGATTATACGCCTTTCGAAGGTTATGGTAGAAAATATAACGTTTCCATAATTTTCATAAGAAAAGTTGTGGATGTCCTTGATCGGATAATTATTTAGTGTAAGGCGAGAGTTGAGTACACTAGAGTCTCCGCAGTGACCAGGAGTTTTAAAAAAAGGAGGCACCGTACCATTTGTTAGCATCATCATATAAATTTCTGTTTCCAACGTAATAAAGTTTATTAATGATTTACCTACCTAAATATTAACAAAAAGTACTTGCTTTTAAATTTTATCATAACTGGATTCACTTGTTCTTGTAGCTCGTGTATTTGAATCTTCAGAGTTTTAACTAATAAAGATCATTTTAGTCTTTGATTCTATGAATTATCTGTATATTCTATATAATATATAGAAACCTAATGAATCGTGTACTTATTTGAGATTCTCTATTGGAACCTAATGAAACCGAACCTTTTTTGAAAATATTGATCACTCGTGATGAAAAGTAGACCACTTACGACAGTAACATGCGAAAAGATCATGGTTAAAAGGTAGTCAAGCTCCACAGACTTTTTTAATAGTATATGGGTGACAAACGAGCACACAGTCCACCCGATGTTAAGTGAATGCTGTGGCCCATATACATCTACTTTTATCTTCAATTAAAAATTCAGATGCGTTGTCAGCCCTGAAGATTCAGATGGAACGCCTCATTTCCATTAAAAATAACCTCCGGTTTTTTACACTCACTATACGAAACACAGCATATTTAAGCTGCTATTTTACGCTAGTATTCTGTGGACTGTAGCAAAACCCGGATTAACACGCAATAAGGTAATGCTGTGTGTATGGTGAGATTGGAAGGACATCGTTTATTATTAGCTTTTACTGCCGCGCTAAATCATCGATTCGTATTTCTACTGCTAATATATAATGAGACTCAAACAAGAAATAGAGAAAAAACGGACAGAATCGATCGATAGAAAAGTAGTGGCCTTTTTATCATGATGACGCTAGACCACACACATTTTTGGCCACTTAGCAAAAATGATTAGAGCTTGGTTGGGAAGTGTTGATGCATCAACCATATAGTCCTTACCTTGCACGCTCAGATTAGTACCTATTTTGATTTCTATAGAATTCTTTGGATAATGTTAGGCATCAAGAGCGTACTGTCAAATCTACTTGACGCATTTTTTGATCAATAATCACAAGATTTCTACAGCAACGGGATTATATCACTACCTACAAGATGGCAACAAGTTATCGAACAAAATTGAACATAATTTATTTTAATAATAATAAAATGTAATTAAACTTTAAAAATAGAATATCTTTAATTAAATTAATTTGTATATAAAATTCGAAGAAACTTTTTCCCTGACCTTGATTTTTTACCTTAGATTGAATAAAAAAAGCGTTAGATTCAAGATAACCATCAAGGACCATTTATTTTATAATTCTTTTAATATTACAGAAATATTTCTAAATTTTTAAATTAATTATAGCCTGGATAACTCTTCATATTACCTATTTGTTTGTGAATTTTCGGTTTAGCTACTACTGAGATTTGCCCGAATATCATTCATATGCATATATTTTGAATTTATGTTCAAGCATAACCTGTTTGTTATTAAATTCATTATCAAAAGAAGTATTTGAGAGCAATGGTAACCACCACCAGGAAGCATTTTCAGAAACTGTTTAAGACAATAAAAGCATAACTATTATGGAGTACTTAAGATAAAAGTGTCTGAAGACTCCGGCCGACAGCTGCTCAACCTGGGACTACATCCCTTTATGTTAAGCAGTAAGATCATAACGCGCTCTGGGGCCAGAATATATTATGCTGACCATGCTGTGCTTTAATCGGTGGTGATGCCCCTTAAACTTGTATCACATCTGCAGTAAAGGTGTTCCTGTAGGTGGTGGCGCTCGGGGAGAGGAGTGTGTGTGTGTATGGGGGAGGGGGGTTTGGAGCTATGGCTAGTGTGCCAATTCTTTGACATGAGCTGAGCATGAGATGACAAACCGTGTGAAGTTCATTCATTGTGGCTGAATTTGTTTGCATTCTTTCAGGCTTTTGTTCCACATATCGACATGCGCGACTTCAATCGTTGTTTGTGCTTACGCATAATCTGCTACCTCGTTTTGGTTATACTTGAAAGAGCCGTGCTGCAGCTATATTAAGAGTGTGGTTGTAGCACTCGACCGGGCAAGGAGCATGGTCTCTCAGATTACCAGTGTAAAATAGCAGCTTAACGCTGCAGTGTTTCGTATGGTGAGTGTAGAGAGCCGGAGACCCTTCCAAATGAAAAGGAGGCATTCCATCTTAGTCCTCACGGGTAACAACGCATCTGCATTTTGATTCGTAATAGAGTATAGATGTAAATGTCTACGGGTCAGAGCAACTACTTATCATCAGGTGGACTGGTGCTCGTTTGTCACGCCATCCTATAAAAAAACATAGTCCTCCCTTTAGCCCCGCAGTGGGATATTTGTCATAGTATCACGCGTGGCAGGCGGGTTTGAACTTCAGTTTTTAAAGTTAAATCCACACTAGAATTTTCTCCTATATTGTGGGAACAGTTTACAAATAAATTTCACAAGAACAAATATTCAGACCCGGAACAATTACTTGTAGGCCATACAAATACTTGTTCCGTGCTGGATACGAACCCGCGGCCGTTAGCGCTGTAACTACTTCCTAAGCCTCTACGCCACAGAGCGGATTATTATTGAAGTGTTATCGAGAAGATGCTGTGACTCATCTCCTTTTTCAGTTATATAACTAAGGGATGATATGGGGTAGTGGATTCCTTTACAACCAAGAATTTTTTTCCTTTACAAGTATATTACAATATTTAACTACGTTCAATTGTACAATTATATCATTAATGTTCTAACAAACTTGCAGATGCTTCATTAATGTAGACAATAAGGTAATGTAACATATAGAATTACTACCTCAAAGTTAAAATACATTTAAGCTAATAGTCAAGAATGCCGATTGATCGGTCGGTTTACTTTGTTAAAAATCAGAAGGTAAGTGAATATTTCATATATCTTAATATTATATTACCTTAGCTATAGGCGATTATAAAATAACTCTAATTAAAATAGGTAGCATAGGTACAATATGTGGACATGCTAAGGTGGCTAACCCACTATTATGTAAAATATATCTAATTCACCGCGGGTATTTATGTGTGACATATCGCCGTGTGTAGCATGCGAGTCGGAGGATATTGGGTGTTTCCGCCTCTTAGCCCATTAGGTTTAACACTCGCGTGATAAACGTCTGTACACCGCAAAACGCTGAATTCCACGCATGTGTTAGTAAAATTGTACACCAATAAACCTATAGAACTGCTAGACTGTACTGGTTCAACCAAGAATTGAGCGCAAGAACAATCTGCAATATCCTGGTGATTGTGCCGAAGAGCACCGCATTGCATCTGTTGAAGTGGGGATCGATTCGCTCGATCGATAACACGTGGGGATTTGAATTACGCAATTTCCATATATAAAAAAATATATATATATATATATATATATATATGTATAAATTATTTAAATTAAAGTAACTCTCTCCACGCCCCTGCATATACCAGATGTTTCTATTATTTTTGTTGATAAAATTGTTTATCCCAATGCGAATACGTTACATAATTAAATTTAAATTGCGAATTGAAAACTGTAAACATCTATAATAAGAAAGAGTCACGAAAATATTTGGCCGTGCAACACTTGTAAATGTGTTTTTTTTTTCTTATGGTAATGAAAAATGGTCTTGTCCAATAAACGTTTTTAACTTATGAATATGCACGTAATGTTAATAGACGATAATGGGTATAAACTATCCAAAATAATGTTGCGCGAGTTAAGGCTGAGCACCCCTACCAAATCTCATTCGTTCGCACATCATCAGCAATCCCATCTGGGTCAAGCGTATGCAGTAAATAAGCTTAGTAAATAGTTTTGTTGCATATAATTTAAGTATAAATAGACAATTGTAATCAGTTAATATCGAATATTGTAGTAATTAACTTCTTATTGTAACTCTGTCAAAATAAATAAATATATGTTTTATTGAAGTTTGGTTCATTATCTTTTGGCGCAGTCGGTAGGGACCCGTAAGACCAAGTATTATTTCGTGGCGAATAAAAGTTTTCGCAGAAAAATCGGTCGTACGTCTCCACGTTTTAATCGGGAAAAAAGGAACAAACAAATTTATTAAGGAACAGACCAACTTCAAGGATGATGAAAAGTTCTTATGCCCAGAGGAGTCTCGCGGAGTATCCAGCTGAAATATTATGTATTGAGCAAATAATGCAGATGAAAATCAACCACATTAGCTGCCAGCACCATAATATACGATTGGAGAATTTGAAAATTCAGAGGATCTTCAAGAACTATTGGCTAATGTATACCACTAAGGAGTTGATAATAACTGTACACTGTCCATAACATGTACAAAAATACCAAGTGCAAGGCACATATATAAGCAAGGAGGGCTTCCTAGAAAATGCCAATCTTGAACTTTCCACCAACAGTGCCATCTGGTATCGAACAGAAGAATTAAGCTTTTTAGAAGGGTCCACTCTCGAACTCTCTGCGCCTGGTCGGTCAGCGCTCCTATTT